TGTGTGTGTGTGTGTGTGTGTGTGTGTGTGTGTGTGTGTGTGTGTGTGTGTGTGTGTGTGTGTGTGTGTGTAAACCTTCAAATGTGGCTTCAGTGCATTATCAGAGGAGGAAGGGAGACATGGCTTGCACAACATATATAACTGTGTGCAGTCTGAAGGCCAAACCAAATGACACCTTCAGCATGTTTTCAGAGGAACGGTAGATAATTGCAAGGGAACAAGGGAGAAAGAGTTCAGTTTGCTGTCGTGCCACACCAAACCAGCAATAGTGCCACACCAAATCTGCAAACAGATGAAGACTCAGAGGAGGAAGGGAGACATGGCTTGCACAACATATATAACTGTGTGCAGTCTGAAGGCCAAACCAAATGACACCTTCAGCATGTTTTCAGAGGAACGGTAGATAATTGCAAGGGAACAAGGGAGAAAGAGTTCAGTTTGCTGTCGTGCCACACCAAACCAGCAATAGTGCCACACCAAATCTGCAAACAGATGAAGACTTTTCTCTTCAGGAAGGCTTTCCTTTAAATTACTGGTTTGACCAAGGGGATTTTTAAAAGAGAGCATTTTATTCTGTGTTGTTTACATTGTTCTTATTAAGCGTTTTGAGTATGATACTTGTTTAATGCTTTGAAATATTGCAACACATTATTATTGGATTTTAACTTTGTTTCTATTAGTACTGTAAGCCAGTGGTTCTTAACCTTGGGTTAGTCAGGTATTTTTGAACTGCAAATCCCAGAAACCCCAGCCAGCACAGCTGGTGGTGAAGGCTTCTGGGAGTTGCAGTCCAAAAACACCTGAGTAACCCAAGGTTAAGAACCACTGCTGTAAGCCACCTGGGATCCTTTGGGAGAAAGGCGGCATATAAACAGAAAGAAAAATAAACAATCTGGATCCCTTTTTAAACAATACTGACACTCTAAGCTAAGTGTGGGCCAACATTTTCATAGCCTGCTTGGTCAGGTGACATCCCTGTGTGCCTGTTTACTGAGAAACTTAACTTTTCCATATTCAGGCCCTGCTGGAGTCTACATGACCAATTTTGCTCTAGTATCAAGGGATCCCTTTCCCCTCTAAGGACTGGAATCCGTCTTGAGGGTGTACAAACTGTTTTCAGTCCAGTAGAATTGCTCCACAAACTACTGTAGTATATTTGCCAAAATAAATGGAAGCACAGTTTACATACCTGTAGAAATTTAGTTTAGGATCTTTAGACTCTAGATGGTAGAATGCCCTTGTAAGGTAACCCAGGAATATGTTACAGAGATGAGGCCAAAGCTTTTCAAGTAAAAGGAAATTATAATGTAATAAAAGCAAATGAACGTGTCACTGAACGAAGCAGCTGTGAAGCTCTAGGTATGAAGGTGGAGGGCTTCGTTGCACAGTTGTTTGTTCTTTCATCACTCCTTTCTGTCAAAGGTCATGGCTAGAGATGGGAACGCACCAGCAAAATAGTGTTTCATCTTGTTTCCTGGTTCATTGACAAACCACAAATATCTGAATGTTTTCCTGACGAACCACAAATTGGTTCATTGGCCCAATTTTTTTTCAAGACAGCTTGGCTGCCTCAACTTTGCCCTCTTAGACTGCTCCCACTGTCCCTGTCACCTCCCTACCTTGTCC